CAAGAAAAATAAATAAATAAACAAGAGAAAAATAGATGCAAATCAACAATTCATGTATTTTTGTCTAAACAACTGTCCTATACATGCATGCTTTCTTTTTCTCAATAGTGTTTTAAATTCTAGATCAGTGGCTAAATTAATGGTAATATCAATAGAACTTCCATATGCCCCATGGGGATGATTTATAATGTTCTCCAATAAAATAATAAGATGCCTCTAATGTGATCCATGCGATCTCTAATGGATATATGTATATGTGCCACCAAAGTGAGTACTACACCACAGATATATGAATGGATTTTGAACTCACACTTAATAGCACCAATCTAAGAGCAATGAGTTCTTATGGCATGGTTCTGCTCAACACCTACTCCCATGAGTGATCCCTGAAGACATGGGGAAATGAGGACCTTGGAATAACAAGTACAAGGATGATGAAATGCCCTGGAATTGAATGCAGGGATGGCTACACAACTGTTAATGTGATTGAACTACTGAAAGGTATGGCATGTGAATTGTATATCGGTGAAATGGTTAAAAAAAACTAAAACAAACTAAAAAGTAAACCACAGGCAAAAAAAAAAAAATAGTATTTTTTGAAAACAAGGCCTGGAAAGCAAGAAAAAAAAATAATTTAACAACTTAAATGGAAAAAGAAAAAAAAAAGAAATAGAAAGTAAAAACAGGTAGAGAAAAAGAAAAGAGAAAGAAAGGGGGAAAGGCCAATATGTAAAACTTCAGAGGAGGAAAAAAAAAGAGAACAATAAAGAAAAATTGCTTTCTCTTACAGTGATGCTGCATAGAAGCATTCAAAATGGTTCAGTGTCTGACCTACTGGCACAGGCTGCCCTACAAAACCGCCAGTAACACAACTAGGCGGTCCCGACCCCCTGGTAATAGAGTTGTCTGCCTTTATACCAAGAAGGTTGGCAAAGCACCAAAATCTGCATGTGGTGTGTACCCAGGCCGCATTCGGTGCTGGGAGACCTGAATTTCTCCCGAGCTTGTCCAAAACAGGCACACCTGTCGGCTGGGCCTGTGGGGGTTCCAGGTGTGCTAAATGAGCCCGAGACAGGACCAAGCGTGCTTTCCTTACTGAGAAGCCGAACATGAAAGTGAGAGTGTTGAAGGCGCAGCGCAGAGTCAGAAAGCGGAATAAATATAAGTGAAGCTTTTCTGAGTAACAAAGAAGTCAAGTTGGGTAGGCAAAACCACGAAGTCCCAGAGGAACCCTGAGAGTAGATTTCTGACTGGGGGGCAGCACACGGCTCCCTAACTGAGCTGGATGTGGGTTATTCACAAGGGGGGCCACACCGAAGGATTAAAGGTGTAAGTGGGGTGGGGCGGGGCACTACACCGCTCCATCCCTGATTGCTGGACTAGAAATGTGGACTCACAGGATGCTCGCCTTTCAGACAAGGTTACTGAAGACCAGGGGCTATACAGTATAACCATGAAAGAAATGGGGACATAAATGATGGTTTTTAACATGCCCTTTTCTTCCTTTAATCATAGAGGTATTTATCTGTTCTATGTCATTATTCATGTTAGACTCTGTGTGTGTGTGTGTGTGTGTGTGTGTGTGTGGTGTTTATCTATACAAGTAATCCAGAGTAGGTAACCTTTTGGTGACAGCAACTGGACCCATGGTTCCTGGGGAGTATGAGAGGGGTGGGGGTGGGGAGCCAATAATGATGGGTACAAGAGACTAGTGTCTGAAATGGATGGCAAGGAGTTAATTTTAGCTTTTCTTTATATATTTGAACAATTGAATTGCATCTGAGAGGAGTTACTGAAATGTGAATTATTGGTAAAAATAACTGTGGGGTAGAAGGGAAAAATATATACATATGTAGCAAGGAAGCAGATAGACTTTGGGCTTCTACTTAAATCCTGTATCAGTACAAGAATAGCTTGTTCTAATAATGTGACACTGTATAATACTCACCTTCGTGACACGATCGCTGAAAACAAAATGGGTGCATAAGTATATGTGGTGAAGAAAGCTGATGGAAGCCACCTGGAAGATGCACAGCAGCCTGTGTGAACATGAGGTGTTGATGGGAAGAGGTGTCTGAAGTTTACAAACATGCAACCAACACAATGTGAATGGGCAATGGATGCAATAGAGACCCCAAACCCACCTGCAAGGTAATTGGACAGTTCCTCTCAGAAGGGTCACAAAGTAAGGATAATAAATACAAAGTGAGGCATGGCACTGATGAACCACATAATTATCCACTAGTTCTTTAATATTTCCTCCCCCTTATAATTAAGGCTGTTATTTGTTTTACCTCATTAATCATGTTATATTTGCATACGTTCATTTGTATATTTAAGATAGTTGGGTACATGAAAGTCAAGATAGATAACCCTGCAGAAACAGTAACAGAAGTAATGGCTCGCTGAGGGTATGGGAAGAGAGGGAGGGAAAAGGGAGAAATGGGGAGTTGATAGTACTGATGATTGTATAACTCGACTCGAAGGGATTTAACAATAGAATTGTATGGGAATGGATATATTGTATTGTGTAAAATGTGTCAATGAAACTATTATAATTTTAAAATACTTTAAAAAGGGGGGAGGATTAAAAACAAAGTGAAACAGAAGAAAAATAGATCAAAGGATAACAGAGATGGAGATGATATAAAAGACAGGAAGGGAAAGTCAAGGAAAAACAAGGCAGAGAAAGAAAAGGCTTGGTGAGCAGAACATCTGGTATTGAGCCTCTGCCAGCTGTGGGGCCCACTGGGTAACGTGAGAGTGGATGGTTCGTCCTAGATGGAGTTCCTACATACATCTTTGTTATCTGGGGTCAAGACACCTGGTTCGGGTGCCAGGTCAGGTGGCTGAGGTCAGGGTGCTTACTCTGGAAGAAACTTTTTTGGGCCCAGAGAGCAACTGGTGCCACGGCAGCTGGTTATGGAAGGAGTTTCTGCCCTTCCTGGGGTTGCCAGGGACCCAGTATTGCCTATCCTGCTGGTCCGATGAGGGAGAGTCCATGTGCTTTCTGGTTCAAGGATGGTGTACCCAGCGCCTGACCCAGGAGCCTCCAGCAGAAAGGAGCGGCTGTACAGCGCGGAGCAGGGTGGTCTCACTGGTCTACCGCTGAGCGGGTATAAGTGATGTCTGGCTACACTTCTTGTCATCCCGAGGGTGTGATGGACAAGCAAGGGTTCCTCCTGTCTTGATACTAGCCGCTGCTGTGCCACACATCTTGATGACGTTTCTTGCCACATCGAGGTGGACATGCTATCCAATGATTCACCCATCTGTCTCTGCTCTGGCCAGTTCGGCTCAGCTTCTAGTCGGTATCTAATCCACTTCTCTAGCATTTCTTCCAAAGCTCAGGTTTCCAGTATTACCATCTGTATCTGTCTCAGTAGGTCTCTGGAGGTCTGAGCAGCATGTCTGCTTCTTTGCCATCTTGCGAGAAGTTGCAGGCTGATTTTGGACGCAGATTTTTCCAAGGCCCCTCTGAAGAGATTGAACCGCCAACTTTTTGGTTATTAGCCGAGTGCTTTACCTTTTGGGCCACCAGGGGGTGCCAATTGCAGGATTCCCGAGCTCCAGACAGGCAGAGGAAAGGAAGGAGTGGGCTGGAGGGCTGTGTCCATAGCAGTGCTGATTGAGCACCGGCCAGTGACTTTCATGTGGCAGTGTGGACACAGATCATAGGACTGTTCTAGAAAAATGAGAAATCCCGGATTTTGTACATAGTCTCTTGATATTCAAATGCTAGTTACTATTTAAGCTTTTTTTTTTTTAATGCCACAAGTTTTCCAACAAAAACATTCCACTGGGGGGAAAAAATGATGAAAACTGGGCAAAGCATTAAAACAAACAAACAAAAAACCAGGGCAAGACCTTGGGAGGTTTAATGAGTTGTTGAACAGAACTGGTCATCTGTTCTGTAAACTGCCACCGAATTCGCAGTACAACGTGAAGAAGCAAAAAGAAAAGAAAAGAAATTAAGACAAAACCAAAAACCGTTCACTGTACCCTACGGCTTTCCATGGGGTCATGGGTCAAAAGGCCTGTCACTGCTGACCTTTCTCTGAGCTCTGGACCATCTTTACCATGCCTCAGGCTACAGTGCTGCTTGAACGGGGCCTGAGCCAGCAGGAGTTTTGTCATGTGCTTCCACAGGGGTCAGGGCTGTTGCGATAAGTACCTTCCCGAGACACTGCCTTTTCTTCCTGACCTCCCTGACAATGCCCCACCCCGCTCCTGCATCCAGGCCTGCATGTCTCCAGCATGGAGGCAGGACGGTGCAGAGAGGGCAAGTGAAGCAGAACAGGGCCAGGACCTTGCCTCAATCACTCCCTGCCACGGGGCCCTGCTAGGTGAGGGTCCTGCTGGGACAGAGTGCTGGGCAGGAGCGGTAGGCAGGAACCTACTCAGAGTTCAAGGATTCTGGGCTGGCCCTTGGGAGATCATTTATGTTTTCTTTATCCCCTACTCCAGCGGAGCTGGAGTTTGGAGTTTGCCCTGTGTAGAGGCGCTGTCAGTCAGAAGCAGGGTAAAGACGGCCGGCACGGTCGATCGGAAGGAGAGAGGATCCCAGGTGTCCCCTTTCTCTCAGTCATCTCAGCCTCCTTCCACCCCTGAAGTCACGGAGCGTTCCAGGGGTAGGTGAGCCTTGCATACAGAATAAGGTAAGACACGCCCCTTCCCCAAATTAACACCCACCCCAATGTGGGAGGCAAGTTGGAAGGCGCTAGCTGTGAAGCACGTGGGTCATTGCGCCTCTTTTTGGAGAAGGCTGCTATAGCCTTAGCAAAGGGCACGTGCTTTGTGGGGGTGGGCATTAGGGCATGGAGTTGGTAGCCGGCAACCCAATGTGTGCGTCCTCACTCCACTGAGCAAGCCCAGGGCTACTGGGATAATCACATCACCTCTCTGAGCCTCAGTTTCCTTATCTGCCCAATTGGAATATGAATCTCAGTCCCACCTCACCCATAGGTGTGGTGTGGTCATAAGGACCAAAGTGAGATAAGGTAGGTGGAAATATCACCATAAATAACACAGTTCCAGGACATATCACTAGAGCTCCAGCCCCTATTAACTATTAGACACATGTTTTTCCATGCTGGCCATGTCCAAGGAGTGTCATAATGGGACTGGGTCTAACTCACACAAGAATCGAGTTGGCTCAGCCCTCCCAAGGTGACAGCCTGAGACATCGAAACAGTAAGCAACTTGCCCAAGGTCACATAGATAGGAAAGTGGCAAATCTTGGACTCAGACTCAGGCAGCCCAACTCCTACGAGTCATGTGTTTATCCACAATACCAGCAGGTCTCAAGTGGTATGTTCTGTGGAATATTCCCGGGGAAGGGCATCCTGGGACCAGGACTTGGGGAAACACTGTGCCCTTGCCTTGTGGGGGTTTTAGTAAATATAGGAATATACCAAAGGCTGTGAAATCATGCATATATTTTTTAGACAAATGTTATGACAGCCTGCTTTGGACCAAATGCCAGGAGCCCAACATAAGCGAGAGAGATGTGGAACCTGCCTTCAGGGAGACAGGCACTTGTGGGAGAATTGTATCTATCAAAGGCCATACAATACTGCGGGGAGAAGTTGTGTTTGAAGGGAAGTAACCACTCAAGTCCAAAGTTAAACTGAGGCTACGAAGACACTCCCTCTTTTACGACTCAGTCATTTGAAGGATGTGTGGGAGAAAGAGCACAGGGCAAAGAGAAGAGCATTGCAGGCAGGGGGGCCCGGTTGTCAAAGACTCTGAGCCCCAGAATAACATTCAAGGACTAGAAAGAGCTGTGACACGCGAGGCTGGGAAGTACAGCCGAGTACTTAGTAGCTGGGTGTTTTGACCAGTAAAGGGATCTGATCTAATCTATGTTCAAAAATCCCGTGGGATCTTTTCTGTGGGTTGGATTAGAAGGAAGCCAGAGTAGCTTTCGGAAGGCAAGGTGGGTGTTTATTGCTCTAGACGGAAAGATGGTGGCTTGGTTGAAAGTGAACAGAAGGAAAGATGAGGGAAAATGTGTGGATTCAAATGATGGTTCGGAAGTAGAATAAAATGGAATTGGGGGTGAATCGATTCTGGAGGTTGAGAAAGAGACACTACACACTCTTTGAGGGTATGTTTGCTCACTATGGCATCCTTGGTGCCTAGAAGCAATTCCTAGCACATAGTAGGTGCTCACAGATGACCACTTGTTCAATGAATAAATCAACTGATATCCCAAGGATTCGTGTTTCTGGCATGAGCAGCTGGTGGATGGAGTTGTCCTTTAACGAGTTAAGGAAGACTGCAAGAACATGTTTGGTGTAGAATAGCCTCATCTCTGACTTGGGCATGACAAGGTGACATGTCAGTAGAAGTCCATGCATATCTGTAGGGGATCAGAGAGATGCCTAGGGGGCATTTGGATCCAAAAGCTCTGGGGATCCAAAAGTGGTTCTGTGCCACTTTCTCTCTTTTCCACAAACATTTATGGAGGAGCATCTGTGTGCCAGGCTCTGGGATAGGGACTGGGACTCAGTGTAACAAACATGTATTGAGTACCTTCTGTGTGCCAGGCACAGCGTTAAACACTGTGAACAAGGCAGACATCATCTGTCTGAGCCCTCGACCACCAGAGAAATGACCCCAAGGGGCTTTTACTCCTTGACCTGCAATTCTTTGCTTCCAGCCTGCCTTTAGAGGAGTTAAGCTGGGGATGGGCTCCTGTTTCGCCTCTTCTTGTGGGAGAAGAGGCTAAAGAGTTAACTCCAAGAGGGAAGGAGAGTGAGTGGGACACATCCTGGCCCACCAAGCCCCAAGGACGATATTCCTGTTCAGAACAGACAATGCACAGAGAGGACCATAGGGCCCGCCCCACCACAAGACATGACATCCCTCACCGAAGCTCTGGGGGGACAACACTGGAGACTCAGTGTGGGAATTGTGCCTGGTCTGACCCCATCACACTGGGGTGAAACACGAAGGGCATGCAACAGAACAGCAAGGGGATCAAAGCAATGAAGTCCCTGGGGAATACCAAAAATAGACTTGGGGACAGAGTGTGGCACCCCATCAGACTCAACTGGAAAACACTCACCCCTAAAGGTCAAAAAACAGACTTGGAACTATTTATAGGCCTTTCCTTTTTTTTGTCATTGGCTTTTTTTTTAATGTTGTTGTTGGTTTATCTTCTTTTGCTGTTTTGTTTGACTTTGCCTTGTTTTTGTGCTTATTAATGTTTCTGCATGTCTATCTAGATAAGATACATGGGATAAACAATTCAGAGAAGAAAAAAATGGGACCGATGGTTCTGGGGGGACACGGGAGAAGGGAGGTGGGAAACAGGAAGGAGTGGTGGTGGTCAAGCAGCCCAGGAACAAGGGAACAACAAACAAACTAAAATCGATGGAGAGAAGAGCATAGGATGCCTTGAGGGGCTTAATCAAGGGCAATGTAACAGCGAGGAATTACTAAACCTGAATGAAGGCTGAACATGATAGTGGGACAAGAGGAAAGTAAAAGGAAATAGAGGAAAGAACTAAAAGGAAAATGGGCATTTATTGAGGTCAAAATACAGGCATGTACACTTTGTTCTAATAATCTGGCATTCTGTGATGTGCACCTTCCCGACACAATTGCTGAAGACAAAATGAGTGCATAAGCAAACGTGGTGAAGAAAGCTGATGGTGCCTGGCTATCAAAAGATATAGCATCTGGGGGTCTTAAAAACTTGAAAATAAACATTTAGCTGAGAAGCAACAAAGCCCATATGGAAGAAACACACCAGCCTGTGTGATATGAAATGTCAATAGGATCAGGTATCAGACATCTAAGACCCAGAACAAAATCATACCAATTTGAATGGGGGGAGGACATGCAGAGTGAAGACCCAAAGCCCATCTGAGACAATTGGGCATCATCTTACAGAAGCATCACAAGGAAGAGACGAGCCAGTCTGGGTGCAGTATAGCACCGATGAAACATACAACTTTCCTCTAGTTCTTTAATG